AGAGGGAGAGGCCAGGGGGGGTGTAACGTTACACCGGGAGATGTTATTTGGTAAACACGCGGTTGTCATCTTACAAACACAAACAGAATCCAGCAGAAAGACGAGCGTTTAACGGCTCGTAAAAAACGAGCCTCCTGTGAACCCACGTCGCATAAATGTTTAAGAAATACCAAACATTGTGTTCTATTTGTTTTACTTTGCCTCAGAAATGTGCCCATTGCCATATATTAGTCATCCCCCAGAGTTAAACACGACGTAGTCGGCAGAATAAACAACTGGTAGCAGACAGCAACCAGAGGCTCATCCCGCCACGCGGCCATTACCCTTCAAGTAGTTTGCTTCAGACTTGGACCACAGGTCTCATGAGTGGAGCCGGAGTATTTTATCACTTTATACGTCTTTAACCAAAAGGAGAGCTTGGAGAGAAAAAAAGAAAAAATCTAAGAAGCAACGAGTAATTGTCATTCCGCTCCGGTTGCCACGGCGCGGCACCGCTGCGTTCTTGGCAAACGGAGAATTCTTAAGTGCTGAGCTGTGAATTTGCTTAATTTGACGTGATTCTCTTTCGGGGAAGAAGCCCGGCATATTGGCTGACAATAAGCTGGGACAGTCCTACAGCGTCGGACGCGGCTGTAAAAGCGCATGTTAATACCGTGAAACAGGAATTTATCCTGAAGCCATTTTAAAGTGCTTTTTTTCCGTTTGTAACAACATATGAATCCACACACACTCGCTACTAATCTTCCGTATTATAGGCCGCTCTGCGTATTTGCTCTAACGTACACGTGGAAACGGCCAAAACATCGACACAATGGATGGAGATGCCATTGAAGTTCTATCGTCTTTAAACTGGACCTTTGTATAAATCCACTGGACAACAATTCTGAATCACATTTGAATCACTTTTGTTTTACACAACATTGAGTTTTAGCAACTGAGTAACCACACAACTGTTCGGATGGTGAATGATTACCAAAATAATAGTTAGTCGGGGTTAATTAATGATATTCTACAATGACACGGGCTGTGTAATGTTTGCTTCACCCTTCATCTTGGCATATATTTGCTGGAAAATGAGGCGGAACTTGAAATTGTGTTGGAGACTTATTCTTAGCAGGTCGCAACAAGTTAAAAGTTTTATACCGTTTCGTGTTTTGTCACAACTGTTGCATCTAAAATCAAAGCATTACGATCAGCTTTATTTCTGTTGAATGTCAGCAGCAGCAACCCCCCCCCCGCCCGCATCACGAGAACCTTTAAAAAGACCGGTTTCAGTGTCACAGCTGTGACCTTCAGAAAACAGAGCTGGGCAACAGGTGGGCATCATGTGTGTGCTAATCTTCCACATTATGGTTGTTGATAACACTGCACAGCCCCGCTCGGTTAAAACTCAGTAATTTAATATGGAATACATCAGCAATGTGATATTTGCAGCATGGAAGAAGCAAAGGTTGGGAAGATTCTGCTGCCGCTAATAATAGAAAACTTCCATCATTCGCTGTGGGTTTCTGTTACCAGAAGAATTCTGCGAGTACCGCAGAGCCTCCGAAAACAAGACGTTGGGTGTCCACCGAGGGATTTTGAGATTATTTCTTTTCACTCGCTGTCCTCCTCACCAATGGCATGAAAATGTGGATTGTATTTCGCTGTGACAACCCTTGCCAATTCTGGAGGACAAGGTCAGCGAATGCGGCGCCTCTCCGCCCCCCCCCCCCCTTCTTTTCACAGACCACCCTACTTTACCCATCACTTCTCACACCAGGGGCATGGGTGCTGGCCTCAACTGTTGTTTTATCAAACACAGTTAGGAAAGGCGATGGGGCCGGTCCTCCAGGTCGGATTCATCACGTATGAGTTCAGGGTTTGGAAAGAATAAAAATGGCCAACATAGTGCTTCACAATACAATTAACATTCATTTATTCACCACGTCTCGTGCTACAAGTGATTTTCCGTGCAAACGTGCTACACCTGGTAAATATTGTGCTTGCTCATCACATTCGCATTATCGACATTAACTCGAGCGCCGCCGTGCCCCCGGGCGGCCTGGCGGTCCCAGTCCTTTTGTGCAGCAGCTCAAGGAAGTTGAATAGCTGCGATAACAGAACATGAGCCCCTTTGTGAAAGCACAGAGCCACGAAGGAGTCGCTGCTTCAACTCTCTACCCCCCCCCCCCCCTTTTTTTCTTTCCCCCAACCCTTTTCCTGCCCACCATGATTCAGGTGTTCCACAGTCAGGCTCCGTGATTAGTTTAATCTGCACAGACGCTGGCAAGCGCCGCACCTGTTGCCCTTGCGCTTCCTCCAGCCGCGGTGCCTCGGCGTGCCGACCGGCCGTCCCTCGGATAATCCAATCTCCTCGCCGCTCTCTCCGACAGCACAAGGGCATGCTTTTATTTATTTATTTATTTTTTCTCGTGGCCGCCATTATTGGGACCATTCATGAATACAACCAGCCAGCACCCGGCTGCCCGTTTCTTTCGTTTGCTTTTTACGACTCGCTACCGTTTCTCCCTCCCTGGTCCTCCTCTACCTGCCGGCGAGCTGAGCAAAGCTTTGCTCCAGGTTCAAAAGAGGCCCTGCAGCGTTCCACGTGACGCCCTTCCAGTACTCACATACTCCCATTTGGATTTGAAACGGCGCCAGGACAAAATCAAGTGACACAGGCCACACGGAAAAGGGAGGGAGGGAACGTGATCCCACTTGATTGTTGAGAGTTTATATAGCGAGTGGTGACAAAGTGCTTTATGACTTTGCAGTGTTTCGCTGGGGCCCTACGATTGAAGCCTTATACAGGCAAAGACCCCCCCCCCCCCCCCTCTTTCACCACCCCCGGGGAGCTTGGCTTGGCAAAAGCTCTCCCTTTCACCAGGGAGGAGCCTGTGATCAGCGGCTGCTCAGAAGTAGTAAGCTGCTTTTAGAGAGACAGCCGCAGAGAGCTTTTGGAGGTGACCCGCGCTTCCTTACTTCCGCAGCCGATAACACTATTGAGAAAAAAGCATCAGTCAGAGAAATGTTTAAGCCTGTTAACCCACTGAACAACAAGCGTAGGTTGAAATATTAAACCATGACTATTTTCAACATGGCTTGAGAGTCTGCCGCCATGCTTAAGGCTACTGACGTGCTCGCAATGACATTCTCATGCTGATACAATGATGGTCACCGTTTGACCTTTGCCTCGAAAGGCGTATAGCAGATTTTCACTGCAGATGTGGATAACATCAGCCCAAACGAGGATTCCCGAGGCGTAAAAGGATATTTCCAGAGCAACCGGTGGAGTTCCACAGGCCATGTCACAAATCAAGTATCACACGAGACGGCTCCCAGCTGCATGCCGCATGCTTTTTATCTCACAGGGAAGAGGAAAGGGGAGCGTTTCTTCCTCTGGCCTCCTCTTCTTGTATTGGCCGTGACCTTTCCTACGCAAGCCTTCCCCTCAAAAAGGGAGACGTCACACGCAATGACATGTTGGGAGGAGCTTGAAGCTTCAACAACTGGACCTGCGCTGCGGTAGGATGTGATGAAAGAAAAAAAACGAAAGCTGGACTGGGATCCACGCTCGAGGTGCGAGGGAGGGGTTTTAGAGCACGCCTGAGGGTGGGCGGGTCTACGGCGGCGGCCATCACGGTACGGCTGCAACGGGCTTACAACCCTCGCATTGATCCAAGAAGACACCGGCCCTCTAACCTGCTGAGTGCTCAGTTCCAGCGAACAATGGAGTTCACAGCGCGTCGATACGCTGCCCTATTGAGTGCTCTCCGTTTAGCAGCAAGATTGATGAGGTTAAGGCTCCCGACCGGGGGGGGGAGACGAGTGGCGTCAAAACCAAGGTGTTGCTTTTGACAAACAAGGCCTCACTGCACTACCAGACTGTGGCGCACCGGTTACCGGCTCTAACCAGGAAGTGTGTCTGCCACCGGCTTCCTGAGAGGCTGTGCAGACTCCCCTGGATGTTGTTGAGACTTTTAAAATGTAGATGAGATTATGAAGGTAGAATAGATGGTGGTTTCTGGACAGGAATGCACTGCAAGTCCCCCAAGACACTAACTGATGTACAAGTGAATTTATTACAGTGGGCTCCTATAAATCTAAGGTGGGCCTGAACTCCAGGGAGAGGTTAATGGATTACAAAGGGATGTGGTATCGAACCTCAGAGAAGTTTATACACCTCATCAATATGTGAAAAGTCATTGATCATTTAGACACTGATAAATTAAATTCATACACTTGACGCATAGCAAAAATCAGAATTCCCTGCATGTGGAAACAAAACTGCTTTTTTTGGAGGGGGTGGGGGACAATCTTTGGGGACATATTGCATCATCGGAGAGACAATGGAAAATTGCACATGTAGAGAATCTGAGGGTAGTTACTAAATATGAATTGTGCGCCAGTTCAGATATATTCACTTTTAGAAGGAATTTCTGTACGTGTTTCATGCGTGGTAAAAAGCCCTTTTCTGACGGTAGCCACTAGAGGCTCAGCTGCCACTGGAAGGGCACAAGGAATTCACTGAGTTGCATTATTGGTAACGAAGGAGCCCGTTTTTTTAAAAGAAAAGAGAACATTTAAAAAATAAAAAGCTAATAGTATGCAATGCTTAATCAGGGTCAAAATATTAAATATTCACATGTGTTACTGGTACTAGCTTGTCAATTGCTAGTACCTTTTGTAGTTAGTATCAAGTTAGCAATATTGATGCATGCTAAGCTTGTAGTGTGGAGTTCCACACTTCCTTTATTTTGAAATAAAGTTTATAGTTTATATATCACACAATCAATCGTTCCAGAGGGAAAGCTGAAAACAACGGTATTGCTTTCTGAAAAGTACTGGAAGATTCTCATCTGTATCAGACAGACAAATTACAGCCGGTTCAAAGAGGTGACATAAAAACACACAACAGGCCTTTGGAAAACCAAACGAGTTGGATATTTTTTTCGTTTCAAATGGCAAATATTTTTTGATCTGATTTTATGTTTATGCAAAAAAAAAAAAGTAGAAGATTTGACTTGAGATAAAGCTGATTTATTACACTTTTGTACACGCTTTGCTGGCATTCAAAAAGTAATCAGCAGGTTACAGAGAGGACCAATCGCTGGCTCTACAGTGGCCAAGAAGCATACGTTACCCGTTACGTACTTCTGTAAAGCAACCGTAGATTTACATACAAATACATCTCTACAAAATCAAAGAAATATAGTTTACAGCAAACCGCAGTGTTGTGGACTCCACCAACACCACCCGACTTAATCTAAAGGACGGGTGTCACACAGAAACGAGCAGTGCCCCTCCACCTTTTCTTTCTTGCTATGAAGGCCATGTGATGGGAGGTGGAAATGGCACCAGAGCTGAAATCCCTTCTTCTCACTCGTGGACTCTTCTCGTTAGCTGGAGACAGTGAGTGCAGAGTGAGTAATTCAATAAGTCAAGTATTCATTCATTACTTTCCTTTTCAATCATGGGGCAATGTTTTTTTTTTTTCTAACTTCCCCCATCCACCTACACACTGACAATAGTGATACGAGCTCTGCAACTTCCATCTGTGGCAGCGCTTGTTGTCTTACTGCAGCTTAATTATAAAATATTGGCGCCGTTTTCTGTAAAGATTACTCACTGTAGGAGGCCCTACATAATTTGGACCGCGGGGTTTGTCACAGAAAATAATACAATGCAACTGGGCTTTCTGTATTAGATTTCCGCTTTCAGCCCCCTTGACATTTCAAGCTGCATGAACTAATACATCTGTTATTTGTTGATCATTTGATTATTAACATACTTCACAAACCAAATCAGCTGCCCTGCTGGAGACTCAGAAACGGCTCAGCAGACAGTCTGCGTTGTCTCGCCTGCCACGCACGCGTAAACACACAAAAAAAAAAAGTACACAATTCAGCCCCTCAGTGAAAAGGGAAAGCGGGGGAAGAAAAGATTTATCTCCTCCTCCTTTGAGCGTATGAGGCACTCTGACACCGGCGTGGAACAAAGCCCGTCATCACATTCTAATCTCGAATTTCAGGGCTTTTATTTCACCCAAATGCCACCCTGCTGGCCTTGTGAATTATTGACAGACTGACACCAATGCGAAAGGACACATAAAAGAGGCTAAAAGCTCCGGCCCGGGAAGAGCTTGTCCTCTCCTATCGCCGTCAACAGGGAGACAAACTCTGCTAATGCTTCTCTCCGAGCTCTCGGTAACTTTGCAGGTGGAAGTGCCAACATATGACTCCTGACCTCCAGCTGCGCTACACAAGCCGGGTATTCTGTGCAGCACCGACTCGCTGGTCCGTAGTGCAATTACAACGGGGCGCCAAAGGCAGAGCTGCGAATTATCTGATGGAATCCTAAAATTAAAAGCAGCCGGTCGAGCGCGGTTGTTGCTGCATACGGCCCTTTTAAAGTCATTCTCATTTGACTGTTGCTCGTCCCGTCTCTCCTTGCAGGAGGAGTGTAACGCCGCGGTATGTGGCTCATCGCGCGGTCGTTTAGTCTCCATGATGAAGCGTAAATCAAGGTAAGCCCGTGTCAACTAGACACGCCGTTATTTGTCAGTTTTTTGCTCCTCGTTTTGCTTAAGATTAAAGATGTGACAGAAACGAGGGGAAACCGACAGCAAAGACAGATTTTTTAAAAAAGAATGTAAAAACACACACACACACACACACACACACACACACACACACTACGAGTGTGAGCGGAGAGGCGCAGAATGAAGCCGGCAGAGATGAGAAGCGGCGTTTGGGGAAGTGTCTTCGTGCTTTCTACTGCTGTCTAATCCACCTCGCTCTCGTTGCTGGCACCTTCGGGCCGCCTCAGTTTGTCCACCTGTTCGTTAATCTGTCCGTCCCCGCCGCGCCGATCCACTGTCTGCATGCTTACACCTTCCTCCTCCTCCTCCTCCTCCTCTACGTGGCTGAGATCATCCTCCTCCTCCTCCACCTTCTTCTCTGAAGCCTCCTCTGCCCCCTGCACCTCCATGCGGTCTTTCAGGTCCAGGACTTGGCTTGTGCCCACGGCCACCGTGTCGTTGTCTTTGTTGATGTCATGCACTCCATCAGGCCCCCCCAGTGCATCCTGGGGGCTGTGCTGTCCCTCTGTGACGGGGGAGGAGCCGGCGGACTCGATGCTGACAGGGGAGATGTCGCTGCTGCTGTTGGTGGTGGCGGTGTGGTGGTTGACCGAGGACGAGACGGATGCCGAGGGGGGCTTCAGGGGAATCTGCCATGAGGGGATCTTAGGAATGACGGGAGTGGACGGGAATTGTCTCCTGTGGAAGATGGAGCAAGGGGGGGGGGGGGGTGAGGGAGGAAGATCAAAACATCATCAAAACCTCACTGTGATTGAAATGTTTGAAAGTACAGTTCCCTCCCTCAGCCGGTTGGGCTCCTGACTCACAGAAGCGCACACAGCTTCTTAAATCAGGTGTTAATCTAGAACACCGCTTTGCATGCAGACACACACAAAGCACCCGGTGAAATTCTCATAATCATAACACAGAAAACGGCTTTTCCCCCCCTAAACCGCCAGATGTTTGTCGCACCTGGTAAAGATGTTCTGTTTTTTTTTCTTTTTAATCACATCCTCTGCAGCTTTTAAGATCAAAAAGACGTAATGGGATAAGAACTTCTTAGTGTTTAAAAAAAAAAAACCAACAGTTTGGAGATGATTCGGCTCATTTGAACGAGATGAGGGGGGGAAGCGACAGATGGTGATACAGAGCCTTTAGTTTGTGATTCAAGCCTTTGCCAGAAAACTCATTGAGAGAGTCGGGATGAAGTCAAGAAAGCCAAAGACGAAAGGGACATCGTCGCTGATTAGGATGGACGAGGGGAACCAAACACGCTCAACTAGACGGTTCTGATGTTGCGCTCCCTCCTTCAGGCTTGGTTATGGACCCCGATGCATCATCACGGCCCCCCGCAGAGCTGCGCATGACTAGATTGAGGGGCGAAGACGGGAAGAACGCGGGGACGTCTGCCAGTAGACAATGAGACTTGACTTAACACAAACTACTCGCATGAACGTGCGAGGGGGGGGGTAAGAAGTTACAGCGACCACAAACAAGGTGATCGATTGGAAAGTACTTGTCAGAACACAACTAATGTTCCTGTTCACATAATTCATTTCTGTGCTGTGTCATTTCGCACCTATAAAGTGACTAAAGTCGTACGGCAGCAATTATGCATACGTGTTTATTCCGCCTACCAATAAAAGCATTAAAAGGCCGAAGATCAGCTGATGCCTGCAATATGCTAATCGACCGAGGCAAGTTGTGAAGTAAAAGAAATGGGGCAATCAGTATTATAACCTCGGGTGCCTGTGAGATTAAACATATTTGAGATTAATGATTATGTTTTCAGTGTGCGGGCAATTTGGAAGAGCAATGTGACAATCCGTGTTCTTTTATTTTATTTATTTAGACTCCAGCACAGACTTTCCAGCCATCAACAACCGCGTTGTGTACTGAAGGAGTCGGCGTGTGAGGACGCCCGCGTGATGATTCTTTTGTTTTGTAGAAACTTTTGAGATCTCGACTCAAAGCTCCAGCAACCACACATCAAACCGCGGGTTTTAACTAGAGGTCGACTCTAGTTTACCAAACTCCATTGGGATGAAGAGGTGACGGTTTATTTGTCCAGTTTCATTGAGTATTTGGAAAATGAGAAAGGTGGAAAATGTCGTGGCTCTTTTTAGGGTTCAATCCTCTTCTGGATGCTTAATGCAGTCTAAAGATAAACCCAGCCACTCACTACCATATATATATATATATATGTGATAAAAGGTCCAATAGTAATATGGCTTTATTTTCCCCTCCTACAGTTTCTATTTGTGTTTGTTCTTCAGGTCGCGATGACTCCCAATGTTTTACTCCCAATGTAAGGTCACTGCCTTTCCGCTCCGTCAGCTAGATGCTCCATTCTATTTTAAAGGATGGATGTAACCTCTCCATCACGTCACACAATCAAGGCATCAAAGATGCAATGCAGAACATGAAGCTGGTATAAATAAGATACGCCTCAACAGCTCCCTTCTTCTCTTGGATGTGTACTAGCAATTATTCCTTTGAACCACGCGCGCACACAGACAAAACCAAGCCGCATCCCCCAGTGCTGACAAATGAAGGCAAAACACTGCAGTTCAGTTAAATGGCAACGTAACGTTGGTTCCAAGAGCAACTCAATCTCAATTAAAAATGCCCAACCCAAACGGCAAAAAATGAACACATCCACTGCCTGGTGCAAAACATTTTTACAGCATAGAATCAATCCGGGACGGGCAGATGACGCATCATGAGGCGCTGAGGGGCGGTTTCTTAGAACCACGTCCACTGAGTGAGAATGTCTGCATCGGTCATGTCACAGCGCTGAGAACGGCCGGTCGATGCTAAAATCAGACGGCGTAGGTTCAGTACTGCAGCTGCATAAAGAAAACACTGCTAAATATCAGTTTGCAAGAAAAACGACGTCGCCCCACAACGGTGGCACATTTTTTTGAATTTTTACAGCTCGACAGCAAAGTAAAAAATGAAATTGTGTCTGAAAATATTTAAATTGAGAAATAGCCAAAGCAGTAAATAAGTCTCCTTTTGTATTTGAAGCTGTGACGTTAGAGATTCTTCAGTTCAGGTGTTGTGTTGTGTGTTGTTTTCTTTCTTTGGGCTCGGGGGAAGAAGAGCCAGAGGAACCCGATTCATTCACAGATGATCCGTCTCATCTACTACCGTCAGAATGTATTGATTGCAAATACGGGAAAATATAGTATTTTAATTAGAGATACTTACTGACCCCTGAATATGTGCGCAACCCCGAGACATTAAGATTATACTATGTGGATGGTTAAAAAAAGTATTTTAATGTCAAATGTAAAGCTAATATAATGTAGGATCGGAAAAACTGCATGAAAACAGTGAGCGTTGGCCCTTAAACACACACAAACACACACAGTCGCACCTGCACTGTTTCATGTGTTTCATTCTGTGACAGTGATCTATATAACTTTGTTACCTGCTGAGCAGTAAGCCCTTCAAAGAGGAAATCTCAGCCTTCAGCTCTCCAACGGTCTGGTTGTCCAGGACGCGGTTGGTTGAAGACGAAGCCTGGTGGAAACACACACAAGCGAGACACGCACACACACACACAACAAATGTCACAGACACATCGACGCACACAAGTACTGTTCCGCTCCCAACCAGGGCCGGAGAACAAGGTCAACACACATCTTTCAACAGCTCCTCTGTGCTTAGTTTCAACAACATGAAATAAGAATAAAAAAGCTTTGTTTGGAAAAAAAAAAAAAAAAAAAAGAACATTGGGTTCACGGTAAACAAATATAGTAAATGCAAATATTAAAAGCCACATGCTTTGGTGTAGTTGGGTCATTCGTCACCATAACAACCTCAGCCAACGGCCTTCTGCCGGAGAGGACAGAAAGGAGGACATACGATCCCACTGCAGTCACCTTTATGGCCTCGACTGCTCAGAAAGTCCATTGAGTGTGAATCACCTGTTTTTACATAAGTTTCCCTATTATCTAGAGAAGATTAGGCCAGTGTCCACTGTTTTGGATAATTACTTAAACTTGAACAATGGGCACATTCATGAAGGCAGACCAGAGGTTAGCTAGTTTGTTTTGTTGTTTTTTTTCTTTTATCAAAGACATGCACTATCACACACACTGCTGCGGTGTGACATCTTACTGGGGAATAATAGTATTTGAATGGCAAATTGCTGCCAAAACTCTGCATCCGCAGCACTTTTTTAGGGATAGGCAGGACTTTGACAGAGGAAGCCATGAAATGATGATAGTAAAGTAAAACTGGACTGCAGACTTTTGGCTTACGGCAAAATGAATGAAAATTGTCAACTAAAATAGGGAAGCCAGTCGATGACCAACATGAATGTGATCATTAAAAAGACAAAAGAGAAGAAGATAACACATTTCTAAAACCTTTACAAGCCATTGGTTGAACTTCTCAGAGAACACGGCAGCATGAGAGGGGGTTGCTTGGCTGTAAAGAGGCTCAACCCGAAAGATTTAGAACCAGGGATGCGGATCAATTTGGCACGGTCGGTTACACAGTACCAGCCATAAGTCCAGCAATAAGTCGTGAATAAAAAGCACAAAGAAGGATGGACTGATGAGACCAGAGGGAGGAGACGAGGGAGGAAGTGGGATAAAAGAAAAGTAAAAACGAAAATAATATAAAACGAAAAGACTCTCCGAACTCACCGGAGGAAGCTTGTTAGGAAGCGTGGACCCCCTATCGAGGGCGGGGGGATAACTTGCACTCTTTTGCTTGTAATTAAATCTAAGAGAAATTAATTGAATCACATCTGAAAGGGATCAGACTCACTTACAGTGGAAGGAGGGACGCAGAGGAGAAGTGAAGGGAACAGAAAAGGAGGCTATTTGGGCTCTTATCGACTCCTAAACCTGGCTGATAAGGAGCCCTGTGTTAAAGGCGGTGCACGGGAGGCCCGCTGAAGACACTCTTATTACAGCCGTCACCTCATTAGAACCATCTTAATCCCTCGCCTCCCCAAGGCCCCCGTATAATAAGGCCGGATTCCGCTTCTCTCTGATTTTCCATAAAAAAAATTAATTGCTGTATGGGCCGAGGTAAAAGGGCTTGGAAGGCACGGAATCAACTCAAGATATATGCAAATTGCTCCAAATAACTGAAAATTATTACATCACTTATCATAAGAACAAAAAAAATCTGCTTCGGAGTGGAATTGTTAAACCGCCAGCTACATAATGTGCATTATCTACCGAGCGGCACCCTATAATATCTCACATAAAGACAACAACACTACCACTGACATATTTCTTATTAAGTCTGGAGAAACCTAATTAAATGGTGGACCAGGACTGGATTTCAGCTTTGAAATACATTATGTGAATGGGCACACACACACACACACACACACACGTTCACATTGTGTAAGGTTCCTGTGTTAAGTGCATAAGCTGCTTGGGCGGACACTGAGTGGAGGGGTATCAATGACTGGAGGGATTGAAAGAAACGCCGCAGACTTTAAAAGCCCCACCTGAAGTGTTGACACACATCCAATGGGCCGTACGCGTGCAGACATTCAATGGCATGTTTTGGCAAACTGCTGTTCAAAATATTTAACTTCTGCAATGAAGTTGCAGAAGCACCGTCATCAAGGAGATACTGCCAGGTGTGTGGATACACAGTGTAATGTTTGACTGCAATACAGAATATGAACTATGAGCTATTATTACTATCAATTTACCGATAATAACAGTTATTTTCTTATAACGTTTTGCAACCTTTCTGTTTGAGCTATAGCTTTATCAATATAATAAAACAATATTTCAAACAAACATTTTAATTTGTTGTTCCTTAAATATTGTGTGTTTTACTGAAACACATTTTGTATTTCCTAGGCAACTTGACATGTTGACACTACAATTCTCTGGTTTGTAGGATATGGACTTGCTTAGAGGCTTTTCTTGCCTACATACGTGTACGACCTCTTTATGGACTATCTATTATGCTCTGTTCATATATCCAAACTGAACTTAGATTTAAAAGTAAAACGATTCGAGTTATGAGTGCTCGATGCACCTTTGTTTGACCTCTACTACCGATGCACAGCTGCAGGGCCCTGAGGGCTCTGAGCGGCACATTGCAAAAAAGCACAATGCATGAAGAAATACTAAACCAACAAATGAACCAACCGACCTACCAGAGCTCAAACTGGCAGCGGGGTGTCGCCTATCGCATCAGCCGCCACCACTGTGCTGGCAGGATGTGTTGTTACAGGTCGTTTGAGTGTGTAAACACTGTACATAGTAAACATTTACTCTAAATGGTTTGTCTTGTCCCTAATATGGCCACGGTGGGGGCCCGGGTGCGACAGGGGGTCAGCCTGTTTCTGCTGGTTAACTGCTGGTGCTACATGGGAATTAAAAAAACCCATCACAAGCAAGACTATCAACTCCAGCAGCACCCAAGGACGGCAACGCATCTGGCTAAATGAAGATAAACGCCTGTGGACCATTAGCAACGAGATAAGATCTTTAACAAGGCTTGTTTAAGAGTGTCTGAAGGCAAATTAATTCACAGTTACTTCGCCGGCAGACAGTGTGTTTTCTTGTAACGCATGTATATTTATGATGGAATTAGTTTTCTAAAAGGAAGTCCCCAGAGGAGTGTTTTTGAGTGGAAACACTGATACAGCGCAATTGATTTCGCTCTATTTATGCACTTTCCCAGTGGCAGTTCGGCGCGCGGTCGGTAATCTTCTACGCAGTGTCCACTAATAAAGAGAACGATCAGTGAGTTGAGACAGCGGGGAAAACACAGCTAACAGGCAGATTTGTAACGATAATGGGAGCAGAAATATAGTAGGCTGCTTAACATCAACAACATCCTCGGGCAAGTATACCCTCAACACCAACGGAGGACGGCAGCAGCATGTCTTTAAAGAAAAGGGGGGTGATGAGTGAGAATATCGTGAAAGAGAAAAGAACTGTCTCAGGCGCCGACGTCTGAAAATGTGCAACATCAGCACATGGCGTCTGTGTGTGTGTGTGTGTGTGTGTGTGTGTGTGTGTGTGTGTGTGTGTGTGTGTGTGCGGGGACATGAGTCAGTCCGTCCAAACTCACTTCCATAATGAGGTCCCCAGTTAAAGGACAGTAAACGCGCTCCGCAATTGAGCGGTCACAAACCTACGAGAAGCGTTTTCCTCGCAGCTGAGGAACTAGAAGGCTGCATGTGTTTCGGGTTAAAGGCACATTTCCGCGTTGAGAGGCATAATTAGTAAGCGTGGCGCACTTCGAGCAGCGCGGTGAGGCAAACACCCACCCCCCCCCCCTCCCGAAAGCCGCAAACGGTGAATGATAAGTAGCTCGCCAGCTCCAACATGTGTTTCCCATCAAACGCCACGGGCCTGAAAACAATTTTCCAATTTCCCTGGTGGCCCGCGACAACAGAGGGCCTTCTGCCGACTCGCAGGGAAAATTTAAGATCAACACTAAAGCTATAAAGCACAGTTTATGATTTGTTTAATGGGTGTTTTGATGTGAATTATACTTTTTATACACTGCCGCCGTCCAACAAGGCACTCATGACAAATGAAGTAGATACTTTTTAATCCAATCTGCGATTTGGAGAGGACAAATGAAAGGAGAAAACATTCCCTGAACTTCACAAGCTGGAAGGGGACTCGTTGTTTGAAGGAGGCCGACAGCCCCGCTGACAGAACACCTTTTGTAAAATGTTCCGAATTTGCGATCGGCTGCGGGTCAAACGCGATCGTACCTCACACGCGCTGAGCCTTTCGCACAGCGCTCAGGGAAACTATGCAGCTCGGAGGTTGAAACGGCAAAAAATGAGTTTTTGATGAACCTCGTCCGGGAGGGGAAGAGATTCGTATTTTTCTTCCTCGTTTTGTGTCGAAGCAGATGTGTTCGCATATGTTTTTCTGTGACATCCAGATGCTACAGTGAAACACCCATGTGCTTAACAAGCTGTGGACATAAAACATTGTCTAAGATCGTCTCTTCCAAGGCACTTTTTTTAGAGCCCAGAGATCATAAAACGATTTACGAGCCGTGTTATAAAAAGGAGGCAACATTTCATCCCTGCACATAAGTTTTTAGACCAATCAATCAGAGCGATTCACCCAAACACTTACAATTCTGAGTAGATTATGAAAACAGTCTATAAACATCAAGCCGACAATATGGTTAAAGATTATGGTCCAATGATGAGATGTACCATACCTTTTTGCAGCTGGTGTTCTGATGATATACAGTACAATAAGGCTGTCCGTCTGAGCTAGTTATGACTCCAGGCAGTGGAGACACCTCGAGGAAGCATCGCTCTCTCCTCATCAATCTGGAGATTTCAACTGGCAACTTTATTTTAACTCTTCCTAACGCTCTTCTGCAACTGCAGAGTTAGAGCCTGTCCAGCGTTTCTTTAAAAACGTTAAATCATATACAGTACCAGTCAAAAGCATCTTTTCATTCAATTGAATGAGATGTTGTGTCAAAACCTTTGGCTGTATAACAGACCTAGAAGGTGCAGTTGGTTACTTTCATGTTCAAGCTACACTAAAGACAAACATCTCGCCATCTCTGCTGGAACTAAATGAAATAACTCTGGATAAGGTCGGGCAAAATAAAATAACCCCCCAAAATATACATTTTGAATAAAAAAATAGGCAGCGTTTAATATCACGGATATTCCAAATAATAACTGTTTGGGGCGGAGTTGCTGATGATGAGCCAGTCGCTACCTCTGTTGAAGCCATTTCCTGCGAGAGCTCCTGGATCCTCTGCTGCTGCTGGACGAGGAGCTCCTGGACGGAGACCAGGGTCTGTTGCAGCTGGCTGACTGCGGACACAAGATAGCACAAGCAAACTTTTACAAAATAACCAAAAGGAAGTTCCGACTGGGTGACTGTTTTGCTGCCGCATAACTAGACATTTTTGATGACAGAGCTGATGGGACTGGACCCGTGTCACTGATCAAAGGCGTCCTCTACGCACTGTGATCAAAGCGAATACAAAGCGGTAACTTAAGTTGCAGCGCTCGGTCCGAGGTGCTGGGGGTAGAGGGTGGGGATATAGGATGGAGATATTAATCTCTAGTGCCTCAACTTAAATCAAATAACAGTCTCTAACCTTCCATTATCCACCCAGACACCGCCTTCTAATGCATCTTAAATCCTCAAACGATCAACAAAGGAAAAAACAAGGCTCTCATTTGGGAGGAGGCTGCCAGACAAAATGTCCCCCCTAATCCTAATAAATATTGTTCTTTTTCCATTGACTTTGAAGATTGAATTAGTTCAAGTGTTGGTGTTGAACGAGGGTGTATGATTTCAAATAACACCGGGCACAGTTTGTTGCCCCCTGCTTCCAGTCATGCGTGTATTACCAAACAATGCATTAAGTTTCCCCGAGCTGATTATATTACAGAAAACCAATAAACATTCATATAAATCATGGGCGTGTAAAGTGTTAAATCAAGCCTAATAGGATTAACATCAACAGATATTGTGGCGGTCCACTGCCGAGGTTGCCGGGCCAATGGTTAAAAGCCTGAGCTGCAGCCGGCTGGACGGGACGTGAGGAACCCTCCTCTCACATTAGCCCCGGCCGGGACAAAACACAGGGCCCGGCTCCGAGGCTCTGTTTCTTTTGAAAAGCCAACGCAGACAAAATATTTGATCTTTCAAAAGAAGCTAATATCTCGCAGTGACACCTGTGTTTAGATGGGTGGGGTTGTACCAATATGGGTGGGGTGCAGAAAACGTTTGATCTTTTCCACGCTCGCAGAATCCTATGGAATACGAGTTTGAGCAGGATCGCTGGTTGGGGCCAAAGAAAAGCAAAAAAAAACATTGTGCAAACAGTTTCAGCGAGTCGCTCTCTGCTCCCAAGTGTGTGCAGCCTTTCTAGAAAGCGGCAATAAAACTAAAATACCGCGGCCATCCAGGTTTAAAAAAGGTGTTACGATGCCAGGGTGTGCGCGCTAAACCAAGAGCTGCCCTATTAGTCTCAGATTCCCCCTCACCGCAAAACAGCTTATCCAGATGTGCGCGCCGGTCTGCCAGCCAGTAGTGCCGTGCCTCCTGAATTACCAGAGGCACCGCTTTTTTTTTTTTCCAGCCAAACACGCCAATGTCCCTCCACACAAAGTCCGCTCCTTCGCACCGCTCAAGACACTTGACAAAAAAAAACGCGTGACTCCAGTATCCCCAGCTATCACAGATACGAAGCCAAGCATAATAGACGACTTTGGCCGTGCGTGAATCAGACGGAGGCTGCAGTTGCAATGCTGGTGAGAGAGAGAGAGAGAGAGAGAGACAAGATGCCGTGTGCGGCCTGCAGCTGCTGTGAGGAGGGTGCACATTGTGTATTCAGTAAATTATTCAGTAAATACCAGGATATAATGTACACTACATATGTCCAGGCCCGCCACTGTTTTTAATGGCCAGCTGGTCACCAATATGGCTCCCACCGACAAAGAGTGGCCAAACAGCCGCGCGATTCCATTACAGCCCGGGTGAGCTGAAGTAGTTCCAAGATCCATTCATTAATTGTCTGTGCGAAGTTGTAGGCAAACCGTAATGGGAGTCAAGGCCCCTGCTCTCAAGCCGGGGCTGGCAACAGAGAACTAATGTGGTCCCCATTCAAAAGGATACACCACCTCATTGCGCCCGGCAATAGAGAAATACATGAACTTTAACAAAAGGGGGGTTCAAGCAATTGGCAGCAGCGAGGCAGTCGGTCGCTATTACTCAGCGCAGCGAGGAGAGAGGGAGCGAGACGGAGAGGAAGACAAAGGGAAAGCAGAGGGAAAAAACTCTCAGTGTAATTGCAACCCCTCTCCCCAACTGTTAACTACAACAGTCATTAACTACAATAGCAGCTTGGCTACTGCAGTCATAGCAAATTAGTTCCCCACACTGGCTGTAGAAAGGAGCAGCGTTCCATTTTTTTTTCTTCTTCTGCCCAGTGGAGTCTCACATCCTCGCTGCAAAGCACAGGACGACTTTTAGTGTGGAATCGTGGTCCACACACGCACACACAAACAAGCAAAACAGGGTTTGTAGAATGGGCAGAGAAATAGAGAGGGGAAATGTGTTTGCATAGTTGGGAGAAAATGACCATAAAAGAGCACATATTTGTTATTCAGATTCAGGGCGACACACCTTGCACGCAATCTCGCACAACTGCTGCACTCAACCGACAGAAGCCAGCCAGAAAACAATAGCATGGGTGTGACTGGATACAATGATAACAGCCATATTTTCATCCACACTACGCCGGTGCGTGACGGGAGCTCTAAACTCAAACACACTTCATTTGGATTTGGAGATGAAGGAGAAACCTAACAAAGGCCGCTTGAATTGAAACCAACATTAGTCGTGGATAGGATTTAAGTTAAGAATGCAGCCTTTTTGTTTGATACGTCTTCCTGCAGCTCAAAACGCTGGGAACACGTGATGGTGATTCATACAGTTCTGCTAGCAGACCTGAAACTACTTTTGGGCACACAAACTCAGTGGTAAACACAGCTCGTGGGCACTTGAATGTGACTTTATTCCATTTAAAAAGGGGAATTCATTTGAACGACAACCCATTTTGATTTGTCACTTCATAATATACCCCCAAAAATGTACCTAAATCATGTTATGTTTCATTAAAATAAAAATAAAAAACGATATAATATTCCTCTCTGGTTTGTATATGTAACTTGTTGTGTAAACCTGCCTTGAGAATCTTGAAAGGCACTTCATATTAATAATTAACATAATCATATTTATTTATACCTGTATTTTCCACTGCGTCTGTATTCCTGCCAGTCTCCCTATCTCAATGGAAATCGGTACCTTTCAGGGGAGAACACACTCCAGCACCAGCGCACTGATAACGAGACCAAACTTTTTCAGAGTGCCTCTCTCATTTACGCCTCCGTGGATTTTTAATTATACTGACGAAGTGCTCGGAAAGCATCCCTCTCCTCGCGTCGCTCTCTCTCTCTCCCCCTACGTGTCTGACAGCCGGGTTGAGATTCCTCACCTGTCCAACATGGGAGCCGCACCTGTCACTGTGCACTTAATCACGCTAGGGCCGGTGCTGAGCCCAGACGCCACACAGTGCCATGCCGCACGCTCATCCTGCACACGCACACACACACACACACACACTCACAGACAGAAAATTAAAATGAACTTTCTCGCAACCTACGGGGAAGAGGGTGGATGTTGATGATGGCGGTGGCGGTTCGGATGGGAGTGCGGTTGGTGCAGGGGGAGACGGATGGGAGGGGGGGGGGGGCATGAGGGGAGAAAAGTTGTCATTTCCCAACTGCTCATTAATATTCCGAGGTTAAGAGCTTTTCAGCGAAACGTAATTAATTGAGCCCGAGCCTGACAGTAAACAAGCAATTTCAAATTAAAGCGAAATGACAGCGGCGTCATTTGTTAAAAACGTGCGGGGGCCCCCGATTTTGGCGACAGATAAATGAGGGAAAATGTTAAGGAGGGAGAAAGTGATGAAGATATTAATCTTCACCTGTCTGTGTCAGCGTGCCACTCATTGCCGCAATGTTGCTCTCCATCCTCTGCAGATGCTTCTTGTCCTCTCGGCTGCCCATAATGAGGGGAAGGATGTATTTCTGCAATTAAAAGCATGGCACAATATCCAGTGAGAATGTAGAGAATGAGGGAAAGACAGGGCCACCGAGACATGGCAGCAGAGGGTCAAAGACATCCTTTTATTGGACAGTGGCTCATTGTCTAAACAGCCCGATTAAGCACATGAAGACTGTCAAAGTACCTGACATCAGTTGTTTGGAAAATAAAATCAACATTTTTTACGACTAGAAATATATATGATGTATTTAATATAGACACATAATCTGAAAGATAAGTTTGATCTATAGTGAAAGTAACTGTTCCTCATATGTTAGCAATAGAAATGAATAAAACCCAGGGCGGCACTGTGAAAGTAGACCTAGAGGATAAAACAGTCAACACGGAACGGAACTGCCTCTGGCAGTCAAACGTGGATGTTTGTGATCCAGTGCAATTGTTAACTAAAGAAACACCTTGTAATCCTCTCAATGAATCCTTAAAAAATGTACCAATTAAGTTAATGTCCATGTCACCCTGTAGGGTCCCCTTCATGGGCATGGTGGGACATTTTTTTACTTGTTTTTATGGCTGAAAGAAGATCACGTAATCCCTGCGGGCCGGTTCGCACCCCTTCGCTGCCCTTCGCCAGGTTTTCCCTCTCACTCTGGTGGCAAGCAGCCACAGCAGCGCAAGTAATAAACACTTTTTAGAGAAAAAGATTAAATGAGTGTCAACACGTAGTAATTAATAAGTGGGTCGCTGGGAGTGTGGTGTTTACAAGGTGCGCCATAACATAAATAAAGTATGGGCAGAAGCTTGGACATATGGCGCGACTGGCGCTGCGCTCCGGTGACATGACAGCAACCTGTGCCGTCCCGCCGGGGGGAATCCCACCTCCCGGGCGACCAGAGGCTGGTAAGCTCTCCTGAAAGGAAGGAAACAGCGGACCGGTACGGCGCATGTTTGCAACGGGGGGGAAACGCCACCGGGACAATGGAAAAAAGGGGGCTGCAAACGTGAGTGAAAGGCGGTGTCAAGAAGGATGAAATAAATGGCACATAACGGGGTCTGTAGAGGAGCCAATATGCCCGACAGGGTCAGGTAGGCATATGCAGGTACATGACACGCACTCCCTTTCTCTCTCTCTCTCTCTCTCTCTCTCTCTCTCTCTGGCCTGTCAGCCGGGCCGCGAGCTACTGCTAAAGCTCCCGTACTCCTCTAAAATGAGAGTAATGGCTTCCACATGCCACTCAGACTACTACTAACAACCACTATGGGATTAATGTCACCGGGGACTGGGGACAAGAGGGCCTCATGAGCTCATGTTCAAGGGCTGCTAAGCCCGATAAAAACCAGGGTGATTATTTTTAGACGTTGGGACGTCAGAAGGAAGAAATGGTTGTGTGCTGCGTTGGGCAACTATGTATTTTTAAAAAGGCAAAACGAATATTTGAGAGGAGGAGGGAAGTTAAAAAAGAAGGGGCTCAAATGAGATCATGCCTTGACGTAAAGCAGGGTGGCTTTAATAACAAGACCAGAGTGATGTTACATACTGCAGAGGCGCCTTCTATTCGAACAGCATAATTCATCATGAATGATATACTTGCTAAGCCCACCAATATTTTATGTAATATCAGAGAGACAGTACTGACAGATCTCAGGATGCAAAGGATCATTTGTCTAACGCATTTAAGAAAGATTAACTGTGAAAACAAAGTCATTGGGGAAACACAGTGCAAACAGCAGGAGCAGCTCGGTTTGACTTACTTTGTAAAGCTGATTGAAACCGAAGGCGATGCCCACCATGATGATGGCGAGGGAACCATAGTTTCTCCATCTGTAGCCTGCTGGACCTGAGGAGGAGGCTAAAGCACCCAAACTTAATATGAAGTAGATGTTTTTGCTCCAAAGTACTGTACGAATCATGTAACCATGCATATGTTTTGCTGATCGTACTTAAACGCATGTGAGATTGTTTCAATGTACATTCTTTGTCACTTTGGTTACTCTCAATGAGGCATTACGCATGGTTGCATAACTTTAGATGCAAATGAACATAAAGGATCTGCACTGCATGACCTCACTGTGATAATGCAACTTCCACCCCAATGAATAGAAGCCAGTCCGCCTAAAAACAGTAAATGACTAGATTTGATTGAAAGTACACCATATCTGTAGTAAACCTCTCAGACCAAGACATTGTACAATTTAGTATTTCACAATTTATGTGTGCACCACATCCAATTGTGATCCATATATTTTTCCATCTATGCAAAATGTCTGAACTATGAAGAGTAAACAAGCCCTTCATTTAGCTCTAGAAAGAACACCATCGTCTTCCACTTTTTGGGGGGGTTGAGCCCAATATAGTCTTTGCATATAAACCTTTAAACAAGTAAGGCAGGCTGAAAGTGTGAGTGTGCGTTGTGTGTTTGGAAGTTGACTGCCTAGCTGAGTGACAGATAATGTGAAAGTGTGTCATTGTGCAAGCTGTCATCTGGGTAGACCAACTGTCTGTCAAAGTGGAAATTCCCCACATTAGAGAGGCATTGAAGTGAAAATGTCACTAAACAACAAACGGGTGTGAAGGAAATACTTTTTTTCTCCCATTTGCTGTTGGTGGGGCGCAAACGAATATGAAATTATCAGCGACTCGAGCCACTGATATTCCATCACAGGTCTGATTCCACCCAATATGTGTACATGCTTACTTTCTTGAAGTAAGGAAGTAAACCAGATTGATCTCATGCCTTACCACTTGTGTGATCTGACATGCAAATAAAATGATAGACCCGCTGTCATATTGGACTACATGGGACATATTCAAGGTGACTATATAAATATATATATATATATTCTATTCTCCTCACTCAAGGCCATGTTTCATTGCTGCTGCAGCATTCAGGGATGAACCTGTAACCTTTCCTATTGAAGGATTTTGAGTCATTCTCCAGCATCCATATGGTAACCACATAAATTTGGGTCTTCATCAACATTATAGCTGCGACAGACTGTCACCTATCCCAGAATACCATGCTTCTGAAAGGCCTCCGAGTCCTTGGGATAGGTGGTTGACCCTGAACAAGCCTCACTGCATCACTGAGATTCAGGGGGTCTACGCGTGCTCTCCCCCCCCACCCTCCCCCCGGTTAGGACCTTTCATTCTTCCTCTATCTCTCTTTTTCCTCCACCACTTCCACTCAGCCATCTTCCTTTTTTTATTTGGTCACTTAAGCTGTGGAACTGTGGTATCCATCCCCCGTTTTTCCAATCTCCTCTCAAATTTATTGGGTTCAGTGGAGGCCTTCCTGTCCTTCTACCGCGTGGAAATAGAGATCAGAGTATCCATTACTTCGACAGAGATGGATGCGGGTCTCCGCGCGCCGTCCCCATAACAAGGACATCAAAGAGAGGTAGCCCCCTCTTTTCAGCGTGACCCCCCATACAAGACTCCCCGCTCTCTCCTCATTATGCAGCTCCCTTATAGCCGTTTTGATATAAAACCCCCCACTATGGACGGAGAGCGGCGAGCCCCCCTAACTACATGGCCATCCCATCAACATCACTTTCATTACAAAACATGAGATGCCAGGGGAGTCAAGGACAGTGTGGTAATAAATGAGGGTGGAATACATCTGGAATCATTGTCATATGGGTTAAGCATTACGCGGACTTCATTCTGCATTGGTAAATCAGTGGACAGCACTCATAACCTCCTGAGGTAATAAAGATACAGGTCGCGGTGTGGGGTCTTGCCAGTGTAGAACCCCCTTGAAACAGAATGGCAAGAGACTTGACGTGACTAGACTTGAGTGTTGAATGGCGTGTACGTCTGTAACGCTTTGAAAGATCTCGCTATTCGGCGAGCTACCGATAATCCTCTTTAATGGGTTTCAATTAATGAAAACAAGAGGCAAGATCGGGCTCTGAGTTAACCTGGACACGGCTTCTGATTTGAAATGAAACATCGTTTTTTTTCCCCAGGTGGAGACAGTGCACATTAAATATTAATACTATTTATATGCACCAGGTATCAGCGGGGAGAAAAGGGTGTGTGCACTCACTATGAGGTGCGAGAGCCAGCTGAGGTGCGTGCAGTGGATGTGGGGGCCCCACAGGGCTCACAGGCAGGACTTCTTCTGTGCTGCCGGAACGCTGGATGGCCAACTCCACCTCCTCCTCCGTCAGCCCTGCAATCAAGACGCACACATTCAGGACACCCGGAGTGGGTGCAGCACCGGCGCGTTAATGGGAAACACCAAATGGCTCTTCGGCGGTCATAACGCGCGCTTAAATACTTCCCGAGCTGCCCACAAATCTTTTAAGAACAATTTAGAGAACGTATGACAAATCTTCATTCAATTTTACCTTCACTCTTCTCAAAAACACATTTTCATTTCATAACGCGGAAATTCCGCTGAGAGTTTGTGTTTCAGGGACATCCATCAAAGCAAGTGAGGGAAAGGTTCACACAATGAAATCTGAAACTCTGCCGGCCGATTAACTGCCACCAAAGGCAAAGAAAATAAGAGTCTGTCCACTTCTCCAGTTATATTTCCCATGTGGAGATTTCATACACCCCAGACTGCAAAAATGCATTATTTTAATTTCTTCATTGTAATGTAAATGTATTACATAATTTTGCAAATGCCAATATAATTTAATCTTCAGATCTTTTTAATGATTTTAGTGATGATTAAATTGCAATGGGCTCCCTAGTGGAGAATCTGATGGGAGGAGAGGAAAAAAAAATCTAATATGAACATCTCCTTTTGTGGCAAGAAAGGATTTTTATTTCAGGCGCCATATGCTGCCATTGCTGTGGGTCTCGTTGTTTAATGAGTGACTCGGTCCAAACTAAAGGAAAATGAATTACAAATGTTGGTAAACTACTATAAAATGATAAATGATGATAAAATGATGAGCATTCTTTACCGTATGATGATAAAATCATCAAAATCCATATTGTTACGTTGTCTCTGCTCGTGGTGGACTGACAAGGTGTCTCTCCCTAACACGTTACCTATACTTCCTCCAGCCATTTACTTTGCTTATTGACAGAAAATTCCAGTTGCAAGAGAGCCTTTTACTCGAACTATCCCCAAGGATTTACAGAGTTTACACGAGCTCAGAATAAGCTTCCTTCTATCCTTTGGGAGAAATCGAGCAATTGGAAAAGGTTCCGTTGCAGTGCTTCAAGAGATGACTCGACGTTTTCACCGAGAGCACAGAACCAGCTCCTCAACACCCTGGTGGAGTATTATTAATATATTATATATTAATATTATAAACTGCAAGCATGTAAAGCAGAACTTTCCATTTTGTAAGGTGGATAAAATATCTTAATCAACTAAAATGATTCCTCCCATCTGAATACTCAGAGTAGCTGGTTGAACCTCGATCAGAAATGCCACTCAAAACGTATCCACGACACCCTGAAGCATTGAGAAAAGCTTTGATAATCCACCATACAGTTAATGCCAAGAGTAGGTCCCTCCTGTCACCTATTTAAATGCTGCGAGGACTTCAAATGGCCATGAAAATTGTTGAATAATTGAAGGCAAATATTGGCCGGCCTGTAGTCTACAGCAGGTCCTGAGTGCCAGGAAGTGGTGAGCGCCATGTGCTGAGTTTGTGCAGTCAGACTGCACTGTCAAATAAGCAATAATGTGTCCCTGGACTCCTGATTCATCTGACCACAGCAGACTGCCTGGTGGCAGACTATTGAGTGAGACATGCAAAGATCTCAGTTTCACCAAATGAGAGGACAGAAGAAAAAAAAACATGCTTCAGGTTTTCTCCTGTCACCTTGAAATGTTAAGTATTCTTTGTTTTTAAATCCAGATTCATGCAGCTATACAGCATTAATGTATGTACACCTTAATGGCTGTTCACGTCTTTGATGTTGTTTGTGCAGCAAATGAAAGGTTTTTTGTACCTTGCTTCAAAATAAAATACATGGAAATTCCTGAAGCTGTTTACTAGTCAAATTACAGCTTGCCAAGTTCTGTTTGTATGCTCTGATCTGAAGGACAACAGCAAATGAAAGAGCCCTTAGATCCAAAGGAAAAGGGAACAAGAAGAAAGTGAGTTTTACATATAAAAGGAAAAGACAAAAAAGGGATTGTGAAATTTATGACGAGTCCCAAAACCTGTGGAATGACCCCTGGAACCCGACGTGTGGGGAGATGAATTCTTTTAAGACATAAATTATACCTAATGACGACGCCATAAAAAAGAACAATAACGGAAAGCTATTCTGTATTTCATTATACTGTATTATTTGGTGCACCTGATACACGCAGTGCCTGTTTATGAGTCCCCGTATTAGCAGATGCTCAGCCAAAGCATTTGCTTTGACCTTGCCATTCTCATTGGGGCATGAAATTACGGTGCTGGCACCTCGATATTACAGCTATAAATACTGTAAACTGCATATCTGGGCTACGTTTTCTATTGTCTTTCAACATAAACCTGATCGGTATTTATTTAAAGGAAAACCCATTGCTCGTCAGGTTATTTACAGCTCTATTTTCAGCGGCTCATATTCTCTGGGTGTTTTTAAAGGGCAAAGAGGCAGCGAGGCTCTTACATTAAATCTGTTTCTCCAATTCTGGCACTTCTGGACTTTATGGGTCAACACCCGGGCCGGACAGCCAATTATAAGAAATTGCTTACTAAAATATTTTGGGTGGTTAAAGGTGAACGCCTCTTTCCCCCTGTCGCCCCCCAAGGCCTGAATTATGAAGTTGTCCTTGAGCGGGAATTACTTACATTTTGAATATTGTGTTTAGAAAAAAAAGAGGCACGGCAGGGGGGTCATAAATAGATGGAGGTCAATGGCTTATTAACGAGTCGAGTTCAACTTCTCGTGCCGTGCTGGCGAGGGAGATCCTACATGCCATTTGGTTCGGCACAACTGCTTGAAAATAGCGCCCTAAATAACGACCGCTCTCATAGAGTATTCATTTATGTATTAAAAAGGGGGACTCTGCTCTCATTTCCCTGCTTTATCGCCTTGTGCCGATGACAAAGTGGGCAAGGCCTCGGCTAGGTGGCGCCGTGGAGTAATTTATAACCACATCAATCCCTTTACCTTCTACGCAGGCCTTGGTCATTGTCATTTTTGTCCGAGAGGTGAGTGGCATAACCCCACTTACAAACGGCATCCTATTAATATCTGGGATGATGAACCTTACCCTTACCTTCAAACCAGGTATGGTGATAGACCAACAGCACACCTGTGCTCGCTGTGACCCTGGATCACTGGCCCTCTAGTCAGGGTGAAATCTACTAGCATTATTTATTCAACTCAATGACAATTGGGACGGCATGAAAATGAAATAAGTCAAGCCGTCACGTTACGTCACGGCGACAGAGAACTAATGCGTTCAATACCGTATTCAACCGTAATGCAACAACGCACGCCGGGCGCGGCTCTCGCTCCGTTGCTTCCCCCGAACAAACTGCGCTCGGTTCGGTGATCTGGGAGCGGCCGGGTGATGTCAGTTTAGGAGCCGCGGTCAGAGTGACATGTTGAAAGGTGGAAAATGTTGTTGACTTTGTCCTGCGGATTTGATTTTTCTTTTGGTAATTACGTGCGCTACTGCTAATTGTCTGGGCTTAATGATGGTGCCGAAATGGGGCCCGGCGCTCTTTAGTCGTTACATCTGTTAATTGTAGAGGACATAGATGGCACAATTCACTAGATGAGACTGGAGCGTATTATATTTCACTTAAACACCATAAAATTCACCAGATCTTGGCAAGAAACAAGTCGGGCGAAATTGTTTCAAGATGGCTGCGAGACAATTTAAATGCAATTTCCCGTCTCCTCCGCAAAAAGAAAGAAAACAAACACATTCGAGTTTAAATCTTGATCTGCATTAGATCTAAGTGACAAAGTTTCAATATTTCAGTCATTTTACTCTCGAGGAGAGCAGAGAGAAATATTGGACTGCATAATTGCCAATTCATACCCTCAAATTGACAGTTGGAGGAAAAGAGAAAATTATATTTTTCAATGAATATTGAAATAAACCACACTAATAGGATATCTTTGGGGGAAAAACAAGATGTAACTAGAGAGGCATCCTTCAGTGTAGATTAGGGCTCAAATGCGCAGGGAAATAATATGCAGGAGCAGGATTATTGTGTAAAGATTCTGCAACATGCAATCAAAGTGGGCCCTATTTTCCCCTTCATCAGCTGTCCAGCGTAAGTACTGGCAGCAAGAGGAATCCAATTTAAAATCCACTCTACCGGGAGATGGTATTGTTTCATTTTATGTGTGCTTTGACATTTCTGGCTGTTAATATAGAGTAAAATCCCGACGTATTTACATAAATATGACATTAAACTGTATTAGAAATTAAGACTGACGTATTTGCTGTGGTGACTCTGGGAGGACGGGGATGATTGAGTTTCTAGGTCAAAGGGTTGAAAGGACAATATGTGCTTGCTACAGGAACCAGGAGTTCTGGCCCGGCGCCGCGTCTTTGCCACAGTCTGATGCGGCTCAAGTGAGACAGAAAAGGAAGCAACTAATGGGGAATCATGGTGACCGATCACGTTCCTTCACCATCTTCCATCAACATAGGAACATTTTTGAGGTCTATAAGTGTTTGAAAATATGTCAACAAACTTGAATTTGAACCTTAATTTATACTCTTCTACTATTTGTTTACTAAATCAAACTAATGTAGTTACAATGAAAATATTCAATGTGGGATTTATCATCATTTCCTGCAAGAAAGATATATTTTTTTTAATTCAGCTCACATTGAAATAAGTGTGTGGAAACACTTTGGTGTGAAATGAGCATACAGCGGTTTAGTGCTGTGTAGCTATGCAAGTCAGGAGTTATCACAGGAATACTGCAGAGTGCTGCTCAAATATAGTTCGTGCTTCGTGTTTCATTGCTCTACTGTCTCGTATTATTTACCCCCGCCCCGAGATCAATGCCCTTATGCAAATCGAGGGTTCTTGTTTGGATGTACAGTGGAACGAACTTTCCAAAATAAATCTGCATTAAAGAGTCATACATATTTCATGGACTTGAAGTGCAGTAAGAGCAAACCATTTGGGATGGCGGACAACAAAGAAGAAAGTAAGAAGAAAATGTGGCGTAGTATGACATCATTTGGTATTGATGAGGCCTTATTACATTTGAGATAGCCAACAGTAGATTACGAACATGCCTTAGTTGCCAATTATGAGACACCAAGACAGAGAAATTTCAAAAGATTCAAGAGTCATTAGAGCCACATGAGATGTGCGTAGCAGCAGCCGGCAACCATGGATTTGGTTTCGGGTTACCTTCCCCCGTCGTGGAGCTTTTAGGCTCACTTTTCACTGTTTGGCTACTCTAATGCTGGAGGCAGAGTCCCCCAGCACGGCACAAGTACGGTCCCCCAAGTACATCACCGTAAACTGTAAGAGCTCATGTGAGATACACTCGGGGTGTTCCGCACACTTTTCCACCGCCGCCATAAATTGAGTGGACTTAAACGAGTTCTGAGTGATAAAGCTTTTTGCAAGTTTTATTGCGCGAAACAATGTGTCAGAAATAATCTCAATGAAGTGCAAAGAGACTGAAGAGACGGCAAACGATTCCACCATCCCTGCTTAGAAATCTCCCCGTGTCAGGCCTCAAATTTACGGTAACAGTTAAATTAAGTAAAGGGGTTAAAATGCTGGAAGGCAATATTGATAATTCCATTGAAAATGCAGAGGGGGTTTGTCAATATTAATTTTCCTGAACCCAAAGGAGCATCCCAACCGGTTTGTCATCTATTCACAGGGCCCCGAATTGTGCACTCTGAAGCTAAATCGACCCCTGTCATACCCCCCGGGGCAAAGAGCTACAGCCACAACCTTTGACCCGTATAGACTAATCTTGCCAACAAAAAAAAAAAAGAAAACACAGTGTGCATCCCAGGCCAACCACATTCTCTAAACAAACACATAACGTTAATGCAATGTTCAGATTCTCAAATGTCGCTCACCTTTTTTCGTCAAGAAGGCTTTTCTGGTGGCCAAAGGACTCTGACGTACTTTTGGGTTCTGTAGAAATTTGACAGCAGTGGTAATCTGGAAAGAGACAAATGGGATGTAATTTCTCATGGTGAGATAGTGTGAGGGAGAGGGGATACGGTCTGCGGGAAAGTGAGGCTTTTAACAGTTCACACAACAGTCTAGACCTTCTTTAAGAAGAAGGTTCATTAGAAACCCCGGCAAAATCGTAAATGGATTTAATTTGATATTTTCTTCTAAAGACCCCACACCCAGCAGTGAGGAGAAAGACCACCTGACCACTTTCCTGCTAAATGTGGGGAATGACCAAATCAGCCGTTATAAAATTAGCCCATCAAGAGTGCTGGACAAATGGAGTATGGAGCTTAATTTGCTATTACCCTCTTAAAGGCAAACTTCCATTCTTAAGTGCGCAGTGGAAGAAAATCTATACTTAATGCAGAGGTGATCATTTGTATCTAATAACTTGAGAATCCTAGGCTGAAAACTTCTGTAATTCTTCCAGTTAAAAACCTGCCATGATCAAATCACCCGGCCTGAATGTTGTAATGACTTGAAACGTTAATGCACTAGAACGTTAAATAGCATCAGAACATCAGTAGTTTTAAGTGCACTGCGTTCATCGATTCTATTATGTTTTCCTTCGAGATGCACCTTAATTTTCCACCCCAGTATGCATTTCCAAGAATTGGAGGGAGGGAAAAAAAAAAGAAAAGAAAATCATCCTCAAATGGCATTAAAACATAAATTTGAAGTGGGCGCCATGAAGTGGCGCCTCCTAAAATAGATAAATATGTAAGAACACGGAGAAAGGGGAAAGACACTGGAGGGGAGGTTTAGATGACTTATTATCGCACCTGTGGTCCCCGTGATTCAATTGTAAAAGTCATCCCTCTAATAGGTTGAAAGGTTTTGATTACTCTTCTTTTCTCTTAGTGTTGAAAGATACAAAGTGATTGAGCGCCCTGCCAGTGGTAATTCGTTTTGGGTAATGCATTGCATATACTATGAACCAGTTTCAATCCAAAAGATTCGCAGTTCAAACTTGTCCACGGCTGAGGTGTGGCAGGGAGGCTGCATTTCCTGCATTTCTGTGACAGGCAAACAGTACAGCCGAGGCTCGGGGCCCCGGCAACTTTATGGAACTTCTAACAACCAATTTGACCCGTCTTTAAACAACAATGAATAAGCTCATAAGCAACTCAATAACACTTCTATCCTAATAAAAGGTAAACATATGAAAATACCATGCAGCATCCAGAGACCTGCTGCAGAATTATACTACTTTAAAAAAGGTCTACCTTTAGATAAATGCAATAATAAATACATTAAAAGTGAATTTGACCATAACATGCCAGATTCCCCCCAAGAGATGCTGGAACAATCTATTTAGACACTAATCTACCATTTGACTGTGACACGACCGTGACGTTGATGTCCCTATAGGTTACGCGAGGGGTGATGGAGTTTCCTGTATCTCTACACGCTGGTGGGCTTATTGAAGTCGACCCCCCGGAACCTTCATTGGGACAAGCAGATTAAACCATTTGCATGGTGAACCCAACTGATGAGATTGAGTCAAAAACACGGAAAATATCCACTTTGATAACGAGACAAAGTCATTCTGCTCTTGGCAAAGCGCTTACTGCTCAACTAAATGAGCCAATGAGACTACTTGTGGTGAACGCACAACCGAGAGGCAGTAAACACACTGAAATCTAATATTCTAATATTTATTCCAGTAAATAACGGAGTGATGTAGGCTCTGTGAGGGGTAATTGTCTAATAGAGGAGGAATATGCTGAATGAGCAAACCGTGTTTATATTCTCTTCAGATTTCAATAGCACAACATTGACAGGAAAATTGTGTCAATATTAATGGGCGTAAGTATGACATCGTAGCAAAGACCGCAGCTAGCTCAGCGGCAAACTAATGAGGCAACTGTCCATTTGGTTAAAACTGTAGTGGTGGATCTTCAGGGAGAGGAAAAGTGCACTTCTTAGCAGATGACATAGATGCTTTGCACAAGTTCCACCCAGACATCTCAATCAATTATAACCACATTGCAGAGATTTCAGTCTTGTCTTGTTATTGACTTATGGATCATCCCAGTTATAGTGTTGGGTAGCACACAACTGGGCTTTTAGGGGGGCAGGGGGGGTCCTGTGAACTGAACTGTAGAAGGCACATTCGGGCCCGGCTCTGTAAATAACAAAAAATAATAATAATTCTGAATTTACTTTCTTTTGGAAAATCTGTGGGTAATTTTTGGTAAAAACAAACAACTCTTTTGTTAAAAACCTGTCGTAAAGCTTTGACTGCTAATGCACGAAAGTGCTCCGTGTTAAGAGCAATAATCTTTACAAACCAGATGACCAATAGAGTGTCAGGTAAAGCCGAAAAAGAGGGGAAACTCAATCATAGGAAGAGATAACATTAACCAACCCACTTAAAGAGAGTGAAGTTGATGAGCGGACACGATTAAAGCAATGTTATCGAGTTTGGATTGGACAAGACTTTGCTCTGCGCTCGTCTGAAAATTACAATGGCCATAACTTCAATTGTGAGAAGTGAGGGTAAAATCCAGTTATGTTCGAACCATATGGTGGGACGCCTGGGCAAATCCATGTAACCAGTTGTGTATTGCTGTAACTAGCGATAGCACTTAACTACGATATACGGTGAGGCCTTTGGATATTTAGTAGCTGTGCATCGAAAGGAGGTTTCAGAATCTGAGCAGTTGTGAGATTGAGACTTATACAGAAACCGTACGTCTCTCTCGGCTGGTTTCACCACGTGAAGTTCCTGTAAGTTTCAGAGTTTGAAATAAACACTCAAACCACAACTGATTTGAAAAGATACCCTTTTAAGAAACGATTCGAAACCCTTGTTTTCAGTCTTAATTGCTTGGGCCAAACAAAACCCACAGTTGCAACAATGAAGACATTCAAAGGGCACGATGGGACTAGAAGCTGGTGGGGGGGGTGAGAGGGTATTGGGGGGGGTACAACGGAGGGTCTAAAAGGAAATCATTAGCAAGTATAGGATTCAGTCTCAGTGTGAATCAATTCATTCCAAATTGCCCCGGCCTGTACATTTGTGCAGAAGTGCCCCTGATATAATAACAGACTGATAGACATGAACAAAAATTGCGTTAGGCTGCTCTCCAATTACACCCCCAAACACACGTTTGGAGGACCAAAAGCAAGAGAAAGTGAGAGACGGCAAAAAAATGAAGCTCTATATTAATTTGGTGCTTTCATGGATGATTTGCTATCAGGGGCAGCTGTCTTAAATGACTTAACCCAATACCTTTCTGATACCAGAGCCTCACCAGAAAGGAATAAAGTTTTAATGCAATTACTGTGTTTCCGTTAGTCGCTTGACTGCTTGATGTGGCCAGCAGTGCTTTTTAATCTCTTTTAAAAGAGCAGCTTTAAACGCCCTTCTAATTGTGACATCTTTCCCGCCTTGATGTGACCTTTAGCGGAGGAAGTAAGGCCTCATGGGAGCAGCAATGGGGGGATTATTGACCCTGAGAGACACCAGGAAGTGAGGTGCAGGCCCGGCCGTTTCGCCAGCTTCCAGATGCATTCGCATTCAGACGCCGCTGGAGCTCGGCCGCTCTGACAATGACTGTACAAAAGGAGCTTTTTGTGCCTTTGTGTCGCCTTCTCTTTGGGGCAGGGCTTTTTTCAGAGAAGTTACAATGTGAGGAAACTAAATGAACAACCACTACCGAAACTCAAATCTGAAAAAGGAGTATTGGTAAAACACGGGCTTTTCTTCTGCTGGTTTAAACATACTTTTAACATCTGTTGGGTGAATACGTTGGTTTGGGGTCATGCGTCTTAAATCTCTCCTGTGAATGTGGTCAATCTTTTATCAAATGGTTGTAAATTCAGAAATTTCAAACACCAGAGTCGACGCAGATGAAGAGATGGTCATGGAAAACCTCATTGACATCTGCTTTGCAAAGGTTTAAAAATAACAGTGCAAGCGTTGTATCTGTGTCAGAGCCACGGCAAGGCTGCGATCACGACATCAAAAGCGCATTATGCAATTTTTGAAATTAGGGTGTGGGGGGGGGGCAGACGGAAATCAAGCTTTTTTTTCAAGTCCACTGCACGAACAGACTAAACTTTCCATTCAGCAGCATTTCCATATCACAGCCCTGTGATCACGAACGTGGAACAACTGGGGGCTAAAGAACATTTGATCCAGCGAGGACACCACCGGCCTGTAAAAACTGCTCATTCCCCCCGATCGCTTTTGGGGGATAAATACAGCGTTTTATAATAGTTTGGGTTAATATTTCAGAAATCTAGCCACAGATTTTATGATTCCATAGCTTTGCTATGCATAAAGATGTCATGTGATTCCTTCACTTCCTTGATAATATAAAACAAACTTTTTTTTATTTTTTTACATGTTGTGGTTTAGAAATGATCTATCAGCCTCTTTCACGATCTCGATAAACAAGATCAAAAATACATGTCGGTGCAGGTTGATGGTGCAAACGGCAGTGTTTTAGAAAAGATGACGCCTTCCTGGTGTTCCTGCGACGAGATCGACATGCAGCCAAATCACAACTGGGTTTGAGGAATACGGTATCAAGCCGAGTCCGACGTGTCTTAATGTGGAAGCGGCGGTTGCGCTGCCTGGGGTTGCCCTTGCTAAACTAGCGAGACGGATGACTGTTTAGATAAGGACGCCCCCCCAACGGGAAAGCCGCCCCCCCCCCCCCGAGAACCCCGAGTGACTAAAGAGCAGCGACTGCGTCAGTGACACCTCACGTTCAACCTAGCTTTGGACAAAAAAAATACTTATATGGCCAACAAATTCCTTTTAATTCAGGTAAAAGGCCCAAACCATGAGCCTGGAGCTGCTCTGAGAGATGGGGGTCACCGGAGATTAACCCGTGGCACTTTAGCAGTGGGGGTGCGAGCGGGGAGTCGCCGCGGAGCACAACAAACTACTTAGCCACCACAAAACATTCAAGCCCCTTCTCAGCTGCAATCCAGTAATGGATACTTCCTCGGCTCCTCGATTGGTC